ATTTAGCTTCTCTCTACTAGTAAAATACTTTTGTTTTAATAGTTCCAGCAAACACAGTGCACCAACTTCAAACTTTTAAGAAAAGTATTAGTTTTTTCACTTCCATCATCAAAATGCATCGATAAAAACTACTACAGAGAATATAAATACAATGGAAATTTTTTTTAGGTTACTATACACTCATGTTCTTCCCTGAGCTTATCAGAGACCCGCAGTAAGCTGTTTATACAAATACGTAACTTGATGGCTAGCAATAGCATCCTTGAAGTAAATGATATTTTATGGAATTTTTCCTTCCTAAGTCTAATTGCTCAAATTCTTTGCTCTTAATACCGTCTTAGACTGCTTATGTTTCCTTACTAAAGATCCTACAGTGTTTGAATTCAGCATATGTAAAACTGCTCAGTCGGACTGTTGCATATCGTGAACTATGGTTTTAGTTTGGTAGAGGAACTGTACTTCGAAGGAGAAACTTTGCTTCTGACTATCTGTTCTCTTTATATTTTTCATAAATTACTTGGTCAGTGTATCAAAACGTCAGAAGATTCATCTGAAACCTTAAACTTACTACACATAGGTTTCATGGATATGTGAAACAATTAATTTTAGTTCTTACTTTTTATCTTTATTTTAGCTAACTTCATATTTCTTTCAAGTTTAGTCTTTTTCTGTGTTTGGGTATCTCAGAAAATGGCGTTTATAGTTTCAAAATGGCAGGCTCCCTTGAATAGGGTTTTCCTATCTACTCTTTCCTTTACAAAAATAACAACTTACTCCCAGCAATAATGTGATCAGTATTCATAGACTTTTATTTTTTTTATAGAAGTTGTGACCAGCACGTTTGAGTTGCATATTTGCTTCTGAAACCAAGAATATAAGCGTCTCTTACACAAATATCTTTGCACGTGGTGGGGCAAGCAGCAGGATCTGGAAATACTGTTCTGTAATTGCAACAACTGCTTGGTTGGACACAATATGAAAACCATATAGTCAGAAGAGATGTGCATCCTGAATTTTAAAATACTTTAGCTCTAATTTCAGTCAATCCCAAGCAACAGATCCTACAATATTTTGGTCTTTGTGCTACTGTGTCGTCTTCTTCCTGTAATCAAAAAGCACAAACCAGGCATTATTGAAATGTCACTGTTGACAAGGAATTTTTTAAGCAACTGTTGGTGATGCTGAATTGCTGTCGCCCCTCTCTGAGTAACTGTGATTGGAGATGCCACTTTTTTTAAAGGGGTACCTGGTTCAATTTTTTTTTACTTTGTTCTACAGAATTAGTTATCAAAAGAGCCCTGTGTTTGCCATGAGAGGATATTGTCTGTTGAACTGATAAAATGAAATTCTATCCAGATCAGATGAGATTTTATTATAACTCTTTTTTGGGTGACATGCATAATTCAAGTTTACAGTACATTATATTCCAAGCTTAAGGGTCAAGTCTTCAGATTGGGAACTCAGAATTACAAGTTGCTTCTGAATATCTTGCCTTTGATCTATATTTACTCCCAAGGTTATATTGCCTATTTGCTATTTTAACCACACTTTTTTTAAATTTTGCTTTGGATAATGTTCTCTGAACATGTGTATTAAACTAATAACACTAGTCCAAAGCATATTCTTGAGTCGTGCTGTTTTGTCTCTCTCTCGCTCTCTCCTTATTAAACTTTACCCCTTCTCCTCAGTAAATTCAAACAAACAAGAAGAACTTCCTGGCCAGAACTGTTGAAAATCTCAGTTACTATCAAGAAGTCAGTCTTAATTTTCAAAGTTCTAGATTTTTGCCATAGTAAAACGTATTAGACAGTGGTATCACAGCATGCAAAAAGGCTTTTGCCACTAGATATACAGTTGTTCAACGCCAGTGCCATACTTCCAAATGGAAGATAAGTCCTGCCAGGAAACTGCATTCTAGAAGATGCACCAATTTCCAGTCATTCTTTGAATTTTTTCATTATACAGTAGGAAGTAAGTAAACACAAATGAATCCCCTAATTCATAAAGTTCACAAGAGCTCAATGTACATGATAGTATCTCTCTTTCAAACTTTCACTTAAGACATGGATGACACACTGATGTCACTTGTGGGCATGCTTTCTTAAGTAATTTTGCAAGTTCTTTGACAATTGTACATAAAAGTTATCCTGGGAACTCAGTAATTTTAATGTTTGAGGGAATGTTACCCAGTGTTGCATAATTAAAGTTATGCGAAGGGGTTGACCAGTCTTCCTTGCAAATGTGGTCTAAATAAAATCCTAATGGATCTTAAATGGTTGAGTGTAACACAGTGTTTTGTGAGACCGTTCTCAGATTCTCAAATTAATTGCATGTAATTGCATCAAGGTATAGATGTTGCAATCTTAAATTACTCTTCATGCAGATTAACTTGATAAATAGGTGCTATGGAAGTTTCCCAGTATTTTATTTCTGATCCTGTAAGAACAGCTTTAATATACTAAACAACACAGTTTGGTCTTTATAATTGGGCAAATCAAAATATAGCAAAGATTTTTTTTTTTTTTTTTTTTTTTTTTTTTTTTTTTTTTTTTTTTTTTTTTTTTTTTTTATGCTGACTTGTTAGGCTGCCATTATGCTAAATCTTCTTTTCTTGATCTTTTTTTCCATATAGGGTGTGTAGTAGAGGGAACCTGTTATCTTGACTTTCCTTTTTCCATTTCTTCTCTTTTCTGAGAAACCATGACCTCTCTTGTCTTAAAGCTAGAATGTGAGTTCTTTGGGCAGGGACTGGTTTATTTTTGTTTTGTATTTTTAAGCATCTGTACTGTACCTACCAGAATGGCAACACTGACCACATGGTTACTTCTGAGTCCTTTGTTGTACAAATAACTATGGCATATCCAACCAGTCATTTAATTAGGAGTAATATTCCAACACCTTACTTTGTATGTTGCAAGCAGCTTTTATTTTCATGTGCAACAGTTACATTGACAGATCTCAAAAGTTCAAATGATGATGAATAATCAGCTTAGGCAGCTGCAACAGCCAAGTGTTCTGTATCTGCTGGAAGACTTCTTCAGACTTTTTTCAATATAAGTCTATTTTTAATAGTAATATGTTTAGAGAATTTTTCATCCCCCTCTACAACATCTGTGGAAGAAAGTTAATACAAGCATCAGTTGTCTTTAAAAAAATATGACTCTACATTTAATTTTTTCAATAGGAAGTCAGTCCTGACTACTATTTAGGGACACCTTGCCAAAAATTTCTAGTACCTGAGGCCTTTGAAAAAACAATTATTTCCACATTTGTTTCTTTCCAATATGTGGCTTTAATATTGTATTGCAGTACAAATAAGTTCAGCAGTTGATTTTATAAAGTCATCTTTAGGAGAGTCCTAACTTTTTTTTACCATAAATATTGTGATAGTAAATGTCCTTACTCCTTACTGGGATCTGTAAATGAAGTTGTACTTGTTACTTTGAAGTAGTGGGACTATAGGACTCGAGTACTTAAAAAAACCAAGGAGAAGAAAAGATTAGTGCTAGCCCCATATTTATAGAATCTTTAAATCTTTCTTGGTTTTGGTAAGCAAAATATACCATGTTTATCTTAAAATGTATTAGGAGTGGTGGTAGATATGGTTTTCTGGGGCTTACACAGTCATTTTATATTATACTAGAAATAAATATAACAAAATTTTGCCCTGGTAGTGAATGAACTTTTACCCTCCTTACCCTTCTGGATTTTACTATACCTGAAGCCCCTTACTGAGATGCTAGACCAGAATGTCTTTTTTAGTATTCTTCATTTTCTGTTGTCTGATGTGATTTTTATAGTTTGTCCAGAAACATGTGCTTCATATAGTTTTTTGGAGAGAGGGGGGAAGGCAGCAGTAGAAAAGATGGAAAATTATCTCAGAAGTTTCAGTTACCTACTTTATGGAGCTCCTGACCCCCATCATAACAAAGCTCCTTATCTCTGTTTTAGAAGTTGTCTGAGGTGAAGCATTTGCTACAGGGAACTACAGATTTCTCAGAAATGCAGCTCCAGTCCTCTACATCTTGATGAATGCCAAGTTGGGCTCTTCTCTATTTCATGTTAGTGAGTCAGCCACTTGCTGCCACTTACTCTCTTGTTTTCCACTGGTCATTTTGGCGTTGCATAGCTAAAATTGAGGAGGGGGTGGACAAGAATAGCCACACGGCAAAAAGCTGAAACTGTAGGAAAGAGACTCCTATACAAATTTATGGAAGAGAATTGGTGAAAAAGGAATATTAAAGTAACCATTTGTGTGACCATGTAATGCACACAGTTTATGCCTGAAAGTTTGCAAAGCACATTTTTTCCCAGCTAGTTGGTTGATCTAATAAAAGATATTGCATTTACCCAAGGAACCTTGTCAGACCCCATAATGCATGTATTTGATATGGATGGCCCTGAATTATGTTAGGAGAAGTCTTAAAATCTCTTAAACTGAAGCTTAAAAATGCATAGCTGCATCTGTGTTCTCTTTTAGTAATAAGTGCTTGTTGCCATGGTAAGTAGGCTAAATACTGACACAACCTCAGAGTGGCTGGATGAAACTTAACAACCTTTTCCAAGAGAAGTTGCAATATGAAACTTGTATTCTTACAAAAACCAAATTTTTTTTTGTTTTCATTTTTTTTAAATGAAATGTATAAAGCATCTTTTGAAGTATATATCTATTTCCATGTGAGTATATTAAAATGCTGTTCTTTCCTTAAATTTCAGCAGATTACTCAGGAATAAATACTGATATGTATGATTCTAGGCAGCTGTTAACACCAAGTCTGTAGCCTAAATCCCATCTTTTGAGGATCTTTTTAATACACGACACTTAAAATAATTCATGATCCGTTAAACTAATTACTTTCTTTTAAAACGCAGTGAAATGACACCTTTGTTTAGAGGTTTCAAATGTATATTGATAGTGACTTTCTTTTCTCTGTATAGCACTCTTTCAGCCAATAGCTGTGGGCTCTCGAGAGTTTGAAGATGTTGTGAAAATCCTGCATTCATCTTACCTGGAGCCAAGTTCCGTGGCTAATTTCAATTACAAAAGAGCCAGCTTAATTCATAGCGAGTTGTTGGAAAAGGAGGTGAGTACCTATAGGTTATCCTCCATGAATATGATGCAGGTTAAACAATTTCTCAAAGTTTTGTCCAGCTCCTGTGATGTTTACACCAAGCCAAATGCATCAAATCGTACATTTCGGTTTCTTAGATGCTTGTGTGTAAGGCCTTGCTGATTTCTAAAAAAAATCATGATTTCCAGATTTGCTCTGTACGTGTGTGTGTATAAAATTACAGTAAGCTTATTTAAAATCAGTTTAGGGAATTTTTGGTTTGTGGCAGACACTACATATATGGAACAACGAATGTGTTGATTTTGCCCTACATAGTACAGTGCCACACACTGAACCAATTTTTGGAGTAATAAAATGGCAAACCAGCCACAAAATATGTTCCACTTACGTAGGACCTTTCTAGCTAGTTTCTATTGCACCTTGAACTGAATATATGGCAAGTATATCTAGACTGGAGATGCCTATGCCCCATCCCAATAATCAGCTGTTTTTTGGGATGGGATATAGGAAATCCTGGGTCCAGACCTAGTTGCCCTTTGCCTGATCATCAGGGATCCTGGTTTTCTCTGATTTAAAAAAATCGCAAACTGATGAAAAATTGCAAATTCTCTGACAAACCCCAAAATACATTATTAAAATTAAAACCCCCTGCAGCACCCCCCAAACCCTACTGCTGCCTCTCACTGCCCTCAAAGTCTTGTTCCCCCCCCCCACATGTCTCTTGCCTCCTATCCACAGCCCTTGCCCCCCAGGCCTGCTGGAGGGGCCCCCAGCTGCCAGGACTGTGGGACCAGGGACCCAAGTCTGTAGCTCCCTATCCCCTACAGTAGGCAGCTGCAGCAGAAGCGGCATGGAGCTGCCTCCCCCACTGCTGCCGCTTGCTCGGGTGGGGGTGGAGCCGGCTCCTGGCTACCCCCCCCCAGCCCCCTGCAAGCCCCACTTACCTCAGGCTCCAGGAGAAGAGCGAGGTTGGGCTGAGCTGAGCCAAACAGAGCTATGGCTGACTTGAGTCTCAGGCTCTGCCCTTTCCCTTCCCCTCTGAGCAGGGCTAGGGGTTTCCTGCCCTGTTTGCAAACAGCTCTTGCAGGCTGGAGCTCAGCAAGCCTGCAAGCTGTTTGCAAAATCAGGGAATCTGCAGGTTTCTCTGCTAAAAAGAGAAACCTGTGGTTTTCTCTGTTTTTCCATGGGAAATAGTTTCATAGTTTGTAGGTTTGAAATGGAACTGAGCAGATCATCAAGTCCGACCTGCCATGGCAGGAAAGAATACTGGGGTCAAATGACCCCAGCAAGGTGTTTATCTAGCCTCCTCTTAAAGACCCTCAGGGTAGGAGCCAGCACCACTTCTCTTGCGAGTTGGTTCCAGATCCTAGCTGCCCTGACAGTTAAGAAACGCCTCCTGATATCTAGCCTAAATCTACCCTTTGCCAGCTTGTGACCATTATTTCTTGTCACTCCTGGGAGTGTTCGGGGGAACAAGGACTCCCCTAATGCCTGCTGGTCCCCCCTGACTAGTTTGTAAATGGCTACCGGATCCCCCCCTCAGCCTTCTCTTGCGGAGGCTGAACAGGTTCAGGTCCCTTAGCCTTTCCTCGTAGAGCCTGCCCTGCTGCCCCCTCCTCTGGACCCTCTCCATGTTGTCCACATCCCTCCTGAAGTGCGGTGCCCAGAACAACACAGTACTCCAGCTATGGCCTGACCAGTGCCGCATAGAGGGGGAGGATCACCTTGGACCTGTTGGAGATGCATCTGGGGATGCACGACAAGGTGTGGTTGACTTTCCTGACCACACTGTTGGCCCATGTTAATGTTGGCATCAGTAATGACTACAAGATCCTTCTCTGCCTCTGTACTGACAAGAAGGGAGTTCCCCAGCCGGTAGGTATGGTGCCGGTTGTTCCTCCCCAGGTGCATCACCTTGCACTTGTCTGTGTTGAAACCCATCCTATTCTCATCCGTCCACCCTTGTAACCTGTCTAGGTCTGATTGTAGCCTATTCCTCCCTTCTAGCCTGCCCACCTCCCCCCACATCTTACTGTTGTCTGTGAATTTGAACAGGGTGCTTTTTACCACATCATCCAAGTCACTGATGAAGATGTTGAACAATGCAGGCCTGAGGACCGAGCCCTGCGTACCCCCACTGCCCACATCCCTCCAGGTCGAAAATGACCCGTCCACCACCACTCTCTGGGTGCAGCCCTCCAGCCAGTTAGTGACTCATTTGACTGTGTATGTGTTGATGCAACAGTCCCCTAGTTTTTTAATGAGAATGGGGTGAGAGACAGTGTGGAAGGCCTTCCTAAAGTACAGAAAGACTATGTCCACTGCTACTCCTGCGTCTAAGGATTTTGTGACCTGGTCGTAGAAGGCCAAGGCCACCAGGTTGGTCTGACAGGACCTGCCTCTAATGAACCTGTGTTGGTTGCCCCTAAACATAATCTCCCCTGCTGGCCCTTCATGGACATGTGCCATGATAATTCTCTCTAAAAGCTTCCCCAGGATCGAGGCAAGACTAACTGGCCTGTAGTTTCCTGGGTCCTCCTTCCTCCCTTTTTGAAAATGGGAAACCCGGATCCCTGCTGATCATTTAAAGCACCCTAGGATCCCCAGTCCCAAACCCAGTGCTGCTTCCCACTGTAGGCAGATCTACAATTGTGGTGATTGGTGTGCAGCCGCATCCCCTTCAGTAGTGTGGCATGGCAAAGAGAGCGCATTGTGCCTGTGCCCTACAGCCAAAAAGGAGATATGTCAACAGAGCTTCTGTTGGAGGTCTATGTGCAATACTAGCTGTATGAGCTCACCTGCACAGGGTCTTCCCAGAATCCCTGTTTTTAACTCCAGAGCTGCTGCTGTTTGTTCTCCCTCACCTCAAACTTAATTCATCAGTAGGAGGGTATGGGTGATGGTGCATAGCCCCTGGCCTCTATGAAAGCAAGGGCTGAGCATTGCTGTTGCTGCCCTTGCCCCTCATCCCTTCATTTTTGAAAATGAAGTACGTAAGGCATTCTTTTTCTTTCACTTCCATTATTATAAAATAATGGGTCCAGTGCAAGCCTGCGTATGACTCTCTAAATGAACTGTCATTTCAGAATTAATTAAAACCAGAATTGATAGTAGTGTAATGTACTTAAGAAATGAAACTGATACAGAAGTTTGTGGATAAGAACTAGAGATTAGTTTCTGAACAGCAACATATGTATCTAAAATGCAAGACATCCAAGGCCTTGAGTTGAATGTTTCTTTTTGTTACAACTCTGCATCAAGGAGAGAGCAGAATGATGTGGTCAGTAAGCTTGTACCTGGGAAGTGTCTTTCATATCAAAACTTCAGGATAGATGGCATTGAACATGAGAACACTAGTTTTATTCTTTATAGGTATTAAGATTTTGTTTGATAACAGTTCACAGAAAAGCGCAGAGAATTGAAATTTGATGGTCGCCTTGAAAAAGAGCTTGCTGAATCCTATGCATTTCTTATGGTTGATCGACCTCAGGTAAGCAAGTGCACTTTTTTTTTTTTTTAAGTTCCTGATTTTGTTACTGTGGTATGTTGTTTTTTTTTTTAAACTAAATTGCCTGGGTTGATGATTTTAGGATTCATTTACTATGAATGAATGTTCTATGGTTTAAAACAAAAAAAACAGCTAGAAACCACAGAAATACAAGGAAGCAAGGAATTTTGACATACAGGCAACCCCCCCGCTTTAGTGCTCTTAATTGGTTCCTGAAAAACCGAGCGTTAAGCAAAATAGAAAGTATTTGATGAGCCAAGATGGCGACCGCAAGTGTTTTTAATGACCCAAGACAGCAACTGCTAGTGTTGTAACAAAACTTGTTGAGCGCTAAGTGAAATCGGGTATCAGTTTAAAATGAGTGTTATATAGTGCTAAGCAAAACAGTGTTAAGTGTTGGTTGCTTGTACAATTTATCTGTTTTGGTATGGAGTTAATGGAGCTCCAGTTACAAATGTCTCCCTCCATCTTTTTGTGTGTTCATATTGCTTAGACTTGTGCTTATAGGAGAAAATATGCGTTTTTGCTTCATATTATATAAATATGTCGATATTTTTCTGGTATGGGAGCATAATTTTTGGAAAAGAGTATTTCCTATCTCACTCTTCAGATTAAAATTTTATATAGATTTTTATATAGACATTAAGGTTTTGTGTGTTTCCTTTGTAAATTTCTGGTCATTTGTCAATCGCATTTCTGTTCCTTAACTTTTTTTAATAGTTATAGATAAAGTTATACAGATTTTTGTCCAAATACTTGTTTACTTTTTCCAAACTGTTGTATATTAGGCACACAAACTCTCTGCTCTAACAGTTGCATATTAACACAGCATTCCAGTGCAATAGTCTTCTTTAAACAAGATCATAATTGGGAATGTACTAATTGTGCAGTAAATGTTGTATTGAAGAAAACTTTGCATTAATTCATAAGTCATTTTATAAACTTCCCTGCACTACTTTTACAACAACATTTTTCCCCATATAAAATTTGTTAAATACAATGTCTTTTGTTTTATTCAGGTGCAAAACATATGTGAGAGAGGACTTCAGGTGGGCCATTCCAAAATAACAATCCTTGGTAGTCCTTCCATGGGTAATTATTTTTTGGTATTTTTAACTTGCTGTGTATAGTACATTGTACAAGGATGAATCTACAGTGCAGATAATATGGTACAAATGTAAAATATCTGCCCCAGCTGTTGACTTTCCCCCCAAGTTAACATTTATACCTTTTGAAACCATTTTAACCAGCTGACTTCAGTCAACTAACTTGCATAAAGTCTTACCTCAGCTGAAGAAAATTAGGTTAATATCATTGTATGCTCCCAGTGAAATGTTGGCCAAAAGAAGTAATCCAATCTGCCTGTGTAAAATGGGGAAATGACTAGCAGGAGTAGGAGGGTTACAACACCTGTGTGACATTGTACAGCCACTGCTAGAAATACTGCCTTCAGTTCTAGTGTCCACAGTTTAAGTGTATTGATAAATGGCAAAGAATAGCTTCAAGTATGGTTGAAGATTATGGAATGTGTGTTTATATGTAATGGAAGACGCCTAAAATATCTCAGTCAATTTAGCTTAGGAGTTGGATGGATAAGAACTAATTCGGTCAGTTTATAAATACCTCTATGGAAAACAGAAACCAGAAAAAAACAGCTTCTTTAGTTTAGCAGATACATTTGTAGCAAGATCCAAAAGATGAAAATTGAAATATACTATACTGAGGGTGGTTTAACTATTGACATAGTTTATAATAAGAATTGTAGTAAGTAGTCCATCATTGCAGATTTTTAAATCAAGATTGTGGGCTTTGTGAAGATATTCACAGATATTGGATTTAATATTGCTGAAGGCACTTCTTTCTTTCTTTCTTTCTTTCTTTCTTTCTATGCCGTGTCACTATAAGAATGCTACATGTTCACTGTATTAGTACTTATTGTCTTCTGAAAATGGTTAAAACTTGTATGCTTATTAAATTCCTTAAATATGACATTTTTATGTTCACAAACTTCAATCCCTTACTCTTATATTCCTCCCCTATCAGGTGTGTATCTCTCTAGGTATGCGGATCTATTGCAAGCAAATCCCCTAGAACCTGGAGCAACTGGTGATGTGATTATTTTTAAAATAATAAAGGTAAGTTTTACTCAATTTTTTATCACTTGGAGAATACATTTCCTGCTCTTTGTTCTACTTTGTATATTTAAAGATAATCTAAAAGGTAGGGGGAGTTATGTAGGAGTTGTTTTTTTTTTTCCAAACATATGTGCAGGTAGGCTTTGATTTAAAGTCCATCTCTCTTGGATAGGTGAACTTAAGGGGAACAATCAAAAGGATTTTTTTTTGTTCAGAAAGCTGAAGAGAAGAATGTGCTAATAAAAAATGGCTACTTGTACTTTGTTTTGGTAACCTTGCATCCTCTTATTAATTTTGCTCTAGTTACTCTAATGAAAGGCAAGGGGAAGCCAAATTAACTTTTTTTTCCTTACAGGGAAAAATGAAGAGCATATATGATCATATGGGTGTGAAACCAATGGAATCAACAGTTAAAAGTGCATTAGATCCAACACCAAAGCATGAATGTCATGTTTCAAAGAATGTGAATAAAGTAACATCCTTGTTGGCATATAGAGCATATGAGCTTACTCAGGTAGGCAAATAACTTAATTTTATATATTGTATGCTATTATGCATTAAAGATGAATACTAGTTAGATTCATAGATGCTGGGGTTGGAAGGGACCTCAACAGACCGAGTTTGACCCCCTTACCGTGGGGCAGGAAAGAGTGCTGGGGTCAGATGACCCAGCTAGCTACCTATCCAGCCTTCTGTTAAAGACCCCCAAGGTAGGGGAGAGTGCCATGTCCCTTGGAAGCCCATTCCAAATACTGGCCACCTTTACTGTGATGAAGTTCTTCCTGATGTCCAGCCTAAATCTGTTCTCTGCCAGTTTCTGACCCTTGTTTGTTGTTACCCCAAGAGGCGCCCTGGTGAACAGAGCATCTCTGGTTCCTTGCCGCACCCCCACTAATGAATTTGTAGGCAGCCACAAGATCCCCTCTCAGCCTTCTCTTACAGAGGCTGAAGAGATCCAGGTCCCTTAGTCTTTCCTCATAGGGCTTAGCCTGAAAACCCTTAACCATACGAGTTGCCTTCCTGTGGACCCTCTCGAGGTTATCCACATCCTTCTTAAAGCATTATTAATGTAAAAGTTTAAGTAGGGAAGTTTTAAATGTAAACTCTTAATCTTAAATTACCCAATCACTTACCTTTTATTTACTCAAATCCAAGGCAAGGTTGTTTTTTTTTCCCCCCTTCCATTCAGTATGGGAGGAGCAAGGGGGGGAAAAGCCTCTTTTTGGATTTGAGTCTGCCAGTAACACATTTTAAGTGAGGAAGCTGATTTCTGCACCAGAATAGAGGTGTGGGAATGCTGTAATGGCTGCTAGGGGCTGTGCTCTCCTCCCAGGTGCTGAGACCTGGACTATCCAGCTTGCATCACTCAGCCTGTCTTTGTAAGCTCTGCATCTCAAACTTTAACCAATCTGGCAGCAGATTTTGGCTGAGCAGCAAAACTTGTATTAGTTTGGTAGCAGTTGTGACGGTTAAAGTTTGAGCTGTGGAGCATGCAAGGAGGGTCCAGGATGATAGTGTCCCCTCTCTAGGTTGACTGGGTTCAGCCACGATTACAAAAATCAGTCATTCTGGGAAGGCAAAATGGAAGGTAAAAAAAGGTGTAGTCTTATTTTCTTGCATACCATTCACCCCCAAATAAGGTACATCTCCATGGCAACATTCAAATGTCTTGATCATGAGTCCGTTTTTTCTCTCCCTATAAAAGGCTTCCTTTTCACTAACTTCTAGTTTTAAAAACACATGAAGTGAAGAGTCCTATTAGACGGATGTCATTCTATGCAAGCCTCATTCTACACAATGTTCACATTTTGATATAGTCATGACCATATAGAGTGGTTGAATTAAGGATGCACAGGCAACCATACTTCTAACAATTCCTAATATCTACATAGTTTACTCTGCAAAGTTAATGTTGGTTTAAATGCAAGTGTTGTGTGTGCATAATGTATAACTTAGATGGGGAAAAGGAAGGTTTGGCATTTATTTTTTAAATGTAAACAAGTTAACAGGCTGCCCAAGCAACTTTTTAGATGTAAAATTAACCTATACATTCTTTTAACTTCTGATCTGTTACAATGTTAATGTTTCAACATAATTTTAATACTTGAATGGTTAAACAGAGTGTCAAAAAAAAAAAACCCGCAACCTGCAGTTGTAAGATGTTGATGCGCCAGAAGCGGAGGGCAGTGGAGCCTTGAGGGCCTGATCTTTGTTGTGGCAGCACAGCCCTAGCCCTTTCCCCACTGTCTGCCCCAAGGCATGCATGCATCCGCTGCCAGCAATGAGCTGGCCTGGAGCTCCATGGGCCCTGGTGCAGCTGCTTGCAGCTTGCCTGCCATCTGCTGCAAGCAGCCTGCACTCCATGGCTGGCAGCAGCGGCCTGTCCAGAGACTGGGCTGGCTGTGGTGTGCTAAGCAAAGCATGCTCTGGCATGACTGCCGGAAGTTGCCAACCCCTGAGTTGAACACACTTAAATAATCCAAAAATAAATGCTCATTAGTCATGAGGATACATGAGTTTTGAGGTACAACTGCAAAACAAATTGTACTTATTCAGAAAACAGTTGATGTTACTGGTTGTTAGTCAATCTGAAAAATATAAATAGAGCAGATTTATATTTTAACCTGTTGTTTGTTTTTGGTTTTTTTTAGTATTATTTTTATGAGTATGGCTTTGATGAAATAAGGCGCAGGCCAAGACATGTATGTCCATATGCTGTTGTTTCATTTGCATACAAGGATGAAATGGTACAAGCACCAAAGTTTATACCTCCATCAAGGTAAGTTAGGATGTATGCAGACTTACAAAAATAGCAAGAATCTTGTAATTTATTAACAAGTGTTTAGCATTACTCTGTCAGGGGTATCAAATATATGGAGCCCCGCCATCTGGCCCCTGGTGGTGCCCCTGGGGCTGATCAGACCCACATGGGGCATGATGTGTGATTGTGGGGTGATGCCCGTCCATAGGCCAGTTGATAGTGTAATAGAAAATGTAGGTTTGGAAGGCACCTCAGGAGGTCATCTAGCAGGAGGTCTCAAAGCAGGACTATTTCTAACTATGTCATAACAGCCAAGGCTTTGTCTAGCTGGGTCTCTAAAACCTCCAAGGATGCATATTCTGCAGCCTCTCTGGGTAAAACTGTTCCAGTGCCTTATTACCCTCCTAGTGAGAGTTTTTTCCTCACATCTAACTTAAATGTTCCTTGCTGCAACTTGATATGATTGTTCCTTGTTCTGCCACCACTGAGACAATCTAGCTCCATTCTCTTTGTAACCACCCTTCAGGTAGCTGAAGGCTTTTATTAAATTCCCGTTCGGTCTTCTCTTCGCCAGACTAAATACACCCAGTTCTCTCAGCATCACCTCAGAAGTGATGTGTCCCAGCTCCCTAACCATTTTCATTGCCCTCTGCTGGACTCTCCAATTTTTCCACATCCTTTCTACAGTGGGGAGCCCAAAACTGGACACAGGACTCCAGATGCGGTTTTACCAGTGCCAAATAAAGGAATAATCATTTCCTTTGATCTGCTGGCAATGCTCTTACTAATGCAGCCCAGTATGCTGTTAATTTTCTTTGCAGCAAGGGCATACTGTTGGCTCATATTTAGCTTTATTGTCCACTGTGACCCCCAGGTCCTTTCTTGTAGAGCTGCCGCTTAGCCAGTCAGTCCCCAGACTGTATTGGTGTAGCTGTAGCCCATGGACCTCGCCCCTAGCATACCTGGTCTTGTGGCTGCTCCAGCCAGTCTGGGACTCTTGATGAATGAATATTCAAACATGAATTCTGGAGTGGCTGAAACAAGTGCCACACAGCATAATCTCACTGGATGGCAGCTGTGCTGTATACAGTGACTGCCTGTGTTGGACTGTGCTGCACATGATGCCCACTCTAGGATGCACACCACATACAGCATCAGCTCCAGCCAGTGTATGACCTTTGCCGCATGTGGCGGTCACAGGTGCCCCATGCAATGCAAATCCCACACCATCTGGAGTTGGCGTAGTCCCAGAGCTCCCAGGGCAGGTGCCACATGCAGTGCCATCTGGTTAGTGATCACTGGATGCAGTATGGCTAGAGATGTAAAATTTCCAGAAGTTTTGAAGCCATGGGGGGGAAAAAATGGGAATTTTGGGAAAAATTGAAATATCTACAATACTTATTTTCTTAGCACCCATTACACGTCTAAATTCACTTTGCCACTTTAAGAACATAAAATGGATTATGTATAACTTGGTCTGCTCATAAAATTATCGTGTTTGGTTAAATTTAAAAGTATAGGTCATTCAGACAATTACAAATTTACTAATTGAATTTTCTTTAAAATGTTTTTAATTTTTGTTACAAATGGAGCTACAAGCTGCTGAACTGCAAAGAACCTAGCATCTGTTAGTTTTTGCCAGTTTATGAGAAACAGGCAAAATTAAAGTTGAAAATAGAAGAAACATTATAGTAAACATCAACATCATAGGAAAACAGCAAGTTTTATTATGTATTCTGGACTTAGCCTCCTCCATAGTGTCAAGCAGATACAGAAAGCACTTGTTTTTTAGAAAAAGAGTTGAGGAAAAAAAACAAGACTCATTGAATATAAATTTTGCCAAATGAAATCTCATTTTCTGAGCTGTCACTATCAGCAGTTTCTGCTGCTTCTGCTTCTTATATTTTTATCGTCTTTATGGACTTCTGAAAACTGAAAGTTTGCCCAGATTGAGATAAGGTTCTCTACTCTTTCACATGTTAGTTTATTTCTCTGTTGGTGAGTATTTCCAAACAGACCAGTTTCTTTTATGTGCTGCGGAAGATGGAGGACTCTGAAGCAGGCGAGAAGCAGAAGGAGTCATAGGCTATGTTGTGCAAAGGCTTTGCCGCCATGTTGCAAGCAGGGATATGCTTGGCAGAGTGCCAAACTGCATTCCTGGACCAAGTATCTGAAGATATTCTGTATTCTGCAACATTTGAAAGTACCTTTCCAACATCAGATCCTAAGTGTGTTGCTTGTTTTGTAATCCAGTCAAATGCAATAGCAGTGCTATCATCACTAACATTTCTGCCTTTGAGTCTTGGAGCCAAGAGACTTGCAGCAGCATGAATTGATTGGCAGCAAAATTCTTCCAGTCTGTTAATGAAGTCTTTCACTTTTCTTCTGTACTTTTCTTTCTTCTGTACGCTTAAAATCAGTTGTTTTTGAGAATCTATCTGGGCCAGTTGGTAAGGAATGTCTGACAAAAGTGCACTGTCTGATTCAGATGCAGTGATTGCTGAAGAAATTGGCTTTAGAACAGGGGCAGGCAATTTATTTTGGGCAGAGGGCTGCTTACTGAGTTTTGGCAAGCCATCAAGGACTGCATGACTGGCAGCCAGGAGCAGATGAATATTAATTTTCTAATTTTTTTAGGGGCCCTAGGGGCTAGATAGAATGGAACCCAGAAGACATCCTCATCAAGTACAGTGTTCTTTACACTTTTGGGCACTTTAAGATGCTCAGTTATTACTGTTTCTTGAAGAGCTTCTTTGTTTTTTAGTAAACTTTCAAATGAGATCGCCACTCCACCCCATCTAGTTTTACTACAGAGTTTGTCACTGTTTTATTCTTTGCATTCTTTTCTTCCTGCTTCTCAAAGACTGCAGCTACAATATGAGTAGCTTTGACATGTTTTATAACTTCTTTTGCTCTTCTATAGATCTTTTGCAGTGTCCAACTTCATAATGTCATTAAGAAGCAAGTTTAGCCCATGGGATGCATATCCTATTGCAGTAATATGTGGATATTTATCCATTACCATCTCCCATGCTGCTTTCATGTTACTTGCATTGTCAGTCAGCAAAGCAAATGCTTTATTGCTCTCAATCTTCTCTAGGACTTAACATATTTTACTACTGATATACTCTGCACTATGCCTGTTCTCTCCTCCTACAGTACAGCAGTAGTCCTACTACAGAAAATAGTTCCCCACTGGGTTAGAATTGCTGTCATGTGTCTGCCCCTGAAGTAGCTGGTACAAGTAGTTTGTTTAGACTAGTCTAAATAACAGTTTGCTTTTATTCTGTTGAACAGAGAGAATGGTCTCAATTAATTTGATACAGTACCTTAGAGAGACTGCAATTATAACTATATAAAATGTGCTTATATAGCTTGCTTTTATAAATTACAGACATAGAGGTACTGAGAGCAACATCCATACTAGGGAGGATCAGATCTTTTTAAGACTGTAGGTAAATCAGTCTAATTGCCATTGCAATTTTTCTCCTTCCATTCCGTAAATGTATGTGCTGCTAATAATATTCACCTGGTTGTTGTATTGCTCTCCTGTTAGCCTGACCATAATAAAACATAACTAAATATGATCTGTTTTTTCCCCCATTGCATATTGAGAGAAACTTCTGTCTTTTTAATTTTGTTTTGTTTGTTTTATTTTGTTAGATCAAACAGTTTTAATGCAGACAGAAATGCAGGTAAGTATCAGTTATACTCTAAAACTCCTTTTGTAATATCTGTATGGGTACTCCATCCATTTGCCCCATTCTCTTTGCCAGCACTTTAACTGGTTATGCATTTTGGGTTCCTGTTTGTTTATACAATAAAAAATAGACTGACCCATAATAGTGGAAATCATTACCAAGGCTACAAATAAATATACCGTTCTGATACCATTGGGGTATAACCAGTTAAAGCAGATTTGAATACAGTCTAAATCCATGCGGTTAATGATTCTTGTTTCATTTTGTATTTGAGGATTATAATAAAGGAAAACATACTATATTTCAGACCTTTTGTATGGTTAGAAGTGCAAGAAAAATGAAGACATTTCTTAAAAAAAGGTTACTATGGATGAAAGGGTGGAATCTGAAGCAGCTATCCTGCTGTCTTGTTTGACATTTGACCTGAAAAGTTCATTTCTGCTATTCCAGATGTGTCAAATCTGGTCCACAGAGCCACATCATCTGGCTCCTCGTGTTTGTCCCTGAGTTTCCAAGTGATCCACACAGTGCAGTCCTCAGTCTGGAGTCCATGCTGTACACAGCACCCACACGGGACAGTCTGGCATCCCCATATGCCAGACCCAGAACCCACAGTACGTGCTCTGGCCCGCAGCATGGGTCCCAGAGTGAGTATCACGTACAGCTCAGTCCTGGACTGGCCAGAGCAGGCGCTGGATCCAGCATGGGAGGGGGATGGGGTGGTGCAGGGGGGAGAACTCCATGGGTCCCTCATGCTGGATCCAGTATTCACTCTTGTCAGTCTCAGACTGGATCCAGTATTCACTCTTGTCAGTCTCGGACTGTGGTGCATGTGGTATCCTCTTCAGCAAGTGAGGGAACTCTACTGCACACACTGCCTGCCCTGCATCAGCTGGAGTGTGTGACTTGTGCCCTGATCTGGTCAGAGCAAGTACCATGTTGTGCAAGGGTGAGGATGGTCTCTGTGCCGAATCCAGCTCATAGGGCTGGCTGTGCACCATTCATCTGGCCTGTGGATTGGTCCCATGCCTCTCATCTGTCCCATGGGATAAGATGATTTTAACACCCTGTGCTACGCTAACAAACATGGCTTCCTGTATTTCCTGATTTCCAGCTCCAAGGCTAGGTACAGACATTCAAAAATCCCAAAGCAGAATCAATCGTTAAGTTGCATAGTTTTCTGTAAGCAGCATAGTTTAGATCAGTAGGGAACAGAACACACATTTGTCCTTTGATTGGGCAGACAAATCTTAGATTTATGTTCTGCAGTTTTTAGACCGGTCTTTGTACCAAACTTCTGTTTTGTTATGGGTATAAACTGGGTTCCAATCACTTAGACATTACATTTTTACTGGTGTACCTGGCCTTTTAAATTGTTTTCCTGTTACTTGACCACAGAGTTGTTTTTGGTATCCTAAAAGTATATGTAAATAGCTCATTGAGAACTACAATATTCTAATACTGCAGTGAACATTTGAGTGACACTCTTAAGATAGGTCACATAGCACCTTACTTATCAAAGGATTCTGGTTCTCTTATTTTTAAGAGAAAGTTTGGGAATGTGAACTGATGCAATGATGTATTCCTGAGCTCAGAGAACTTGAAAATTAAAACTTGAGATAAAAGTTCAGCCATGCATTACTCAGGATGGACACAGGCACATTTGGAACTGTTTTAAAAGGGCAGTGGTTGCTACATTCTAATTGTTACTGGTGGACAAGCTGAGGATGACCGTGTAGCAAAACTGCCCTGACTTCAACCCTGGATGAAGCAGTTTTGCTACATTTGTCATCCTCACCTTGTTAAGTTCCAATTGCTATTGGTGGATAACTGCTGCCCTTTTGAAACAGCTCCAAATGTCTATCCCCAGAGTAAGTAATGGCTAAACTTCCTCTGCCTAAATAGTGGCGATTTTTTTTTTTTTTTCTTCTTTTCTGCTCCTTCTTCTGTACAGGGGCTTGTTACTTCACTGTTTGCATGTCTTTGCTTTTATCTTTTTAATCTTTATGCTAATGTGCATGCTGTTTTTGGCATAGTTGTACAAATAATAGTAATACTGGAAGCCAGTGATCTAAACTGGACACAACCAACTTCTGCTGTTGCTTTATCTTTCTTTGCCTTACCTAGATGATCTGGCAGACGGCACCAGCAATATTTACTACCCTTGTAGTGACAGCAGAAGGAAACTTCCCAGAACTATTGATAGTCATTCTGTCTCCTTTCTTTTGAGTCTCTCTTATCAGACTAGCTTCCAGTTTTTCAGTTGCTTTCTATTTTGCCTTGCTTTTTAGATAAGACTAACTACACCTTATGGAGAGGACAGCTTTTGAATAAAGGGAAGCTTTTATGTCATGCTGCTTTGAAGTCAGCAACACGTCCTTTCCTTCCATGCAAGCTGTAAGTGTTTCATTTACAAAAGTAGCACTGAAAAAATGCTGGCATTCAGAACTTCCTTTAGCGGAATATTTGCCAGAATACATTTGGTCAAGTGTTAAAAGTTAATATAGTGGGCAAAACTTTAAAGTGCCTATATGACTCAGGAACCAACTTAAGTTCCAAAGTCATTAAAGCACCTCTGAAAACATGCAGTTAACATAAACATCTGTTTTAAATGCAGTGTCTCTAATAAATAAATAAATATATTTATTTGTGTGTGTGTGTGTGTGTGTGTGTGTGTATTCATATATGTATATAATATGATAGCAAAGTTGTTTTTTTCCCATAACACTTCTAGGAATTTTTTTTTAAATAAGTGTGCTTAAAAGCCTTCAATTTTGTGACAATGAGATTGGGCTGTGAGGTAGAAAGAACAATACTTTCCTTCTTTTTTTCCAGTCCAGAGAAGCTTAATGTTGAAACTGTAATGAACATTGATCAGCTGAAGAAAAAAGTTTCACCAGCATTGTTCTACAAGGAAACTTACCTAGGGACAAAGGAAGGTTAGCTTGAAATAGTGTGTGTTTGGCTATTTAAATCAAAAAGGTATAAATCTGGTTTACAATTTATTTTCTTTTTCTTGTGTCAGTGTTTAAAAATGGAATGTACTGCAGCCTGTATGAAGTTGTGGAAAAATCAAGGTCTGGAAGTAACTTGGAAGGCTTACTTCAAAAACTAGAAAAAGAAAAATTAGTGAGTAGAAAATACTGACTTCCCTTTTTCAATTTTTGTATATTTAGCTAATATTGAGTACTGAGATAATCTTCAGATTTATTGTTGCTGGCCACATATGCAAATATCAGAGGACTGTTTCAGTGCCTGTGATGCATTGTCGCTTCTTATCTATTAAGAGCACAGTTTTTTGCAATCTTAATCTCTTAATTTTTACTGCTTATTTCAAACTGTAATACCCTTGTTGTTTGAAAATACAGGTTCTTGTTAAACCTCTTGGGGACAGAGGATATCTTTTCCTTCTTTCTCCTTGGCAAATGACATCCCCATATGGTAGGTAATTTTTAAAAAAATACTAGGCTTTGGGCTTCAGAAATTTTATGGGCTTCTCTCTCTTATTGCATTGCCTAATTCTATTTCTCTTCTTGCTAGAGCACCAAACTGCCAGGTCCCGTATTCTACATGCATTGTTTCTGTTTCAGGAACCTAGAGGTGTAGTGAGTTCAAGTAAGTTCATTCATTTTTTAGTACCTTCTCTGATTTAGACAGTCTCAGTGTAGCAAGGTGTTAATTTCCTGTTACCTTAGTTTGGGTCAGGATTACCGTAACTCATGCCATGAGCAGGAAAGAACACTGCTTGACATGGATATTTGAATGGTAGGGCTAGCATTTAGAAAATAATTTATTTTTACTGTTTGTTACAACTTCTCTTTCTAATTTAGGAACTTATCTAAGGAATATAGCATACTAAACCAAGAATTACTAATCACATATTAAAAGGCTTTTCTAATGAAGAGATTGGTTGAAGATATGCTGAGAGGATTTGCAGGATTAAAAAGATGGGGTGGAAACTAAATTATACATACACCAGATGCTTTGAATGCATTTGTGCTTCCTTAATTCTCTGAGCCTTTCTGGAACTTTTTAGATTAGGGCTTTATCTTGACAACCTCAGTTGTCAAAATGAGGAATGCAGAATAAATAGAATGGAGACAAGAGTGTAACATATAAAATGGATTTCTTCTGTGGCAAGTGTTATAAAGGAGTTGTAAATTGAACATATCAGACTCTCATCTGATGTCTTTCAGAAGTGAAAATTAGGGGTGTAGGACAGAAGAGTGATAGAGTCCTGGCTTGGATAATGTCTCCGAAGTCATAACATAAGTATTATGCACAGTTTCAGTTTCTTCAATACAAGAAACGCTTACTAGTTAACAGCTGTAAATCATTAAGTATTTTTCATACGTAACTTTTGTTTTAATTGTGGATTCTCTCTTTCCTTCACAGCCCCCAAAAATATTCCATTTGCAGCCCAGAAAAGTTCAGCTACACCAGTGTTGCAGGAGAATCATGAGATTTTGCCAGAACTCACAAAGTTTATTCAGTCACTACATTTTGCTCTCATTCAGTCTCGTAAAGATACAACTGCAAGTTTCAACACTGTTGTGGAAAAGTATATAAATGAATATTTGAAGCGTTACTATAGTGGCTCTGGCAAATATAGGGAATTTGTATTGTACCCATATGAGTCACGGTTGGATGACAGAAAGTTTCTCTATTCTGGTCCAAAAAACAAATCTCATATTGATAGCTCATTGAGAAACTACATTTTTTGTTCAGAGGCCTATCAACTCCCTATTTCTAAAGCAAAAGAACTGATGGAAGGAAATCAGAAAGTTCAGCAGTTCAGTCCTGTTTCAGATTATGAAGCCCCGGAAGATGACCCTGACTTAACAAACACAAAAACTGGTAAAAAAGGTGGTTCTAAGAGTGAACCAGTTTTAGTCAAACGAAAGCCTCCTCATCCTGGGGACTATGATCCTGATAGACTCAAAGAATTGATTAACTTAATTCAGTGTAGGAAAAAAAATGTTGGTGGAGAATCTGATGCAGAAGATGTTAGAAACAAAAGTGGACTGAAACGAAGACTAGAAAGTCATTCTGAAACTCTGCGAAAACACTTAAAAATGAGTGAATCTTCAGAAAATAGTTGCCAGTATGAAGGTAAGTACTGTAATTTCAGTAAAATTCAGTTTTTATCTAGTTAATTTAGCTTATTTTGTGGTTAAGAGTATTGGAATGACTTAATTTTCTGCTTCACTCGAGTATTAATGTGAAAGATTCATAAATGGGAGTGTTTCTTTGGCATGTTCTGACTCTTCCTACATTGCTGAGAACCAGGGATCCTGGTTTTCTGTGTTTAAAAAATCCAAATGAGGGCATGAGGGTGCTGCTGGAGGCAAACAGTCTGAGCCAGTTTTGGTTGAGTTAAGTACTCTACTGTAAGAGCGTACTGTCCTTGATGGTACTATCTTATGGCAGAGTTAATTAATTTACAGCTCCCTAATACTGACACACCTGTAGATGGTGATTGTTTACTGCAGAACTAATTAGTCTACTCAGTAAAGCACACATTTAGATGTGCACCCAATGTGATTTAAAACTTGGATGGCTAACACACTTAGTGCAACTGAATGTTCTGTTCAGCTGAATGAATATTTTATAAGAATAAACATAGAAATGCTATAGATGCAAATAATTATCAGACTCATGGAATGTGCATACACTAGAGGTTCTCAACGTTTTTAAACCCCAGGCACCCCTCCATAACTGTTGTGAATTGATCAATACCCTGTCTCAAACCAATTTATTACAATGCTTGCACTCCGACATGTCTCCAGTGCCCCGAGCTGAACTTTTCTTCATGCAAATAAACTTTTCTGTGCTGCAGCTGGGGGCATTGGCGACACATAGGGAGTGCATGCAGGTGCATATGCACCCCCTGTAGAAAGGTTCTACTGACACTGCCGGCGGTGCTTGTGGGTGGTTGCCACTTGCCACCCTCCCCCCACACCACTCTTGCTGCTGACATTGCTGGCTGCATCTGAGAGCAGTCCCCAGTTGCTGCTGGCCACTGCTGGCAATGTCTGTGGGTGGTTGCTGACTGCCAGTCAGTGCTTGCTGCCACTGCCTGTGGGAGCTCATCATTGCTGCCACAGCTGCCTGTGGGAGCTCATCAGTGGCTGCTGACAGCACTGCCACTGCCTGCAGGAGCTCGCTGTGCCCCCCTACCCCCAGCCTCTGGGGAAACATGGTGTTCATGGCTTGGGGTGGGGGAAACCTTTAACCTCATCACACAGGCACAAGGATCAGGCAGGGACAAGTGAAGACACACTCACTCACTCACTCACTCTTTGGTTTTTTTGTTTTTATTGATTTTGCATTCCTGTAACCAGGTAAAATAAAATGACCATAGGGCACTCTACTGCAGCTTTTTTTAATGCAACTTTTCTTTCACCTTTTTAGTAAGTCTGATGGTAAATCTTTCAAATCCAGGAGCAGTATAGTGAGACTGGAAACTAACAAAAATAATACCCATCTTTAGAAATGTGTAGGAGGGAAGTGACCTGGATCACTTTGAACCCATTAATAGCACCTAAGAACTTTAAAGTAGATTTTGAAAGAGAGAAAATGATGGAAAACTAGGTCAAATGTAATTTGGGTTTATTAAAGATAAGTTGTGTTAGAATAACCTGATAAACTAATTTTCTAGGTAAGTGAAATGTGCTTCTTTATCTGAACTTCAGGAAAACATTTGAAATAATGCTAGGAGGAAAATTGTTAGCATGAAAACAATGGGGATCAGTATGGGAACGGTAAGAGTCTGGGAACTTGCCATAGTGGAGATGACCAGTGGGGTGCATTGAAAGGGGAGCTATCTTCATGGAGTGAGATTACTATTAGGGGATGCTTACAGACATGGAAAAACTAAAACAGCACTTTACTTTCAGCTCAGTGTGCCCCTGCACCGAGCGCAGCACATGCCCAGAAGAGGAGACTAGTCAGTTTGATCTGGCTTGCCCAGCATCTGTATAGTAGGGCTGTGCAAAGCTTCAGTTGCTGGTGCAATTTGGAGGAGATTTGTCCTGTTTCAGCAGCTAAATCTCTGAATCCAAATTGAATCAGGTGACCAATAAAAAGGTCCGAATTGATTCGGGCAGTCCCTGCTCACTGCCGCAGGGAGCTGGACCCAGACTCTGTGCCAGTAAGTAGGGGGGCTGGAGAAGGTGGGAAGGGACCATGGGGGGACCCATCCCAGGCCCCATCCCCTGCCTGCTCCCCCAGACCCTCTGAGCACCCCCTGACCTCTGCCAGATCTCCCAGCCCTGCCACTGGCTGCTTCACCTAACCCCAGTATCCTGGCGCTTTAAAACAAAACCCAAAACCTGCATTTACCCACTGCTACAGTGGCCAGCAGGAGTTGCCCCCCGGCCTGGCAGAAGCCAGTGAGTATGGGGGTTGTTTTAATAAGTAGGAATGCTGGGGCCGGGCGAGGCAGCCATTGCCAGGGCTAGGAGAGCAGGTGGGCAATGGGGCCTGTCTAATTCAGTGGCAGCCCAATCTCCAAAGCAGGTTCTGCAAAATTGATTTGGGACAGTGATTTGAATCACCAAATCGAATTGCTGTTCCCTGAATTGCCCAAAATATGAAGCAAATACTAGCACAGGCCTACTGTATAGCTCTTACACTTCAGCGAGGCTTTTTGACATTTTTATGTGACAGTGTTAGTCCCTTGCAATACAGTTCATGGTTTTTTGGGTGCAGTGGAGGATCCTGTCTTAAAATTGTGATTGATGTAAAATATAATATATGGTAAAGTAAAGATAAAATAATCTCAAACTAAAGTTTGAAGACAGATTATTTTAGGGGAATCCTTTGACTAAATACTGCTGTTCTGGTGCCTTCTGAAAAATTCTTTTTAGGTTGCATTTTTCATGCTTTGTTTAGGCCCATGAGCTCCTTGTTTTGTAAGATTTGTTTTAAATAAAGTTAAAATTGTAGTTTTTCTACATGTTAGTTTTGTAGCTGGTAAACACTGAAGAAAAGTGATCTATGTAGAAAAGTAAATGTCTCTAGTTTACCTACACCTGCACTAATTTATGAACTGAAGAAAGCATTTGCAAGTGGAGCCTGAGTAGACTAGCTAAAGGTATTTCAGTAGTTCTCACATTTATGGTTTACAGCTTTTAAAAGAAGAGTAAACTAATAACCGTGGTTTTACGGTGCAGGCCTGTGCAGGGAATTAATGGAATTAATCCGCACAACTGTTTGGTGTTTTCCCCTTCCCTCCCATCCCTTTTTCTTTTCTTTGGTTTGTAGAACTGTATTTCTATATGAAATAATCAAATGGTTGTCACAAATTGTTAGCCTAGCCCAGGCACAATCTACTTGTGTGTTTTTAAAGCAATAATAATAGGTTGGAGGAAACAAACATTGTGCTTGAACTATTCTTTACTTGCCAGTAAATAAATGCTTATACTAACAAGATTGCTATAAAACATAAATTATGTAGTGCAGCCAATTTTAACATCAGAAAATAAAGACGTTAATAGTTTAAAAACACCCATGATGCTATTACTACATTCACAAATATTTGTTTGCTTATTTTTGGTTGTCAGCAAATACAAAATAGCATTGTGCCTCTGAAATACTGTTTATAAAGTCTGGGGGAAGTCCTTCAGCTCTCGGGACCTGCTACCTACCCTATCATTGTAACTTCCAAGGAACTCATGTTGGTTAAAAATTTCTGCATGTGAACTGTGGGAATGGGCCTGGCTGACTGGGAAAGTATAGCTTTTTCTTCCTTTTTAGGGTTTGATTTATGTGACCTTTTCTTTTCTTTTATTCTCCTGCCATTTTCCCATTTCCTAAAGGGGGGAAAACCTCAGAATCACCACAGTCTGTTTCCTCAATAATTACTGGCCTTGGTGGACATGATACTGATTTGAGACAGCAAGATTTATTGGACCCTGCTGTAACTGACACACATGGCCTAATTAAACTACTTTTAGAAACACTAGCTAGTGCAGGACACTTGGATTCATCGTTGGCACGGTCTGTAAACCAAGCTCTAGGACTGAACGCTGATGAAGCAGAAGAGGATTTAAGGCAAAAACATGAATATGAATCGGTTCTAGCACACGATAAAGAAGAACAACATGCACTTCCTACTAGTGCACAAGCTGAAAACATAAACTTCAAGGACCCACAGAGCCCAGGAATGTTAGAAACTGATGCAACATGTTTATCTTATCCTATTGATGTTGACCTAAGGCTTTCTACTAATGAAGTAGCCAGCGAACACACGCTACGTTTAAAAGTAAGTGAAACTTTCAGTATTATTAGGTACCAATTGTGGATGTAGTACCTATTAATTATAGGAACTCGTGATTATAGTCTCATCAGGATATCGAAGCCTTCAATACATAAATCATTAGTTTTTTCATACCTTAGAGCTGTTCTGTTTGCTGTGAACAACACCAAAAAGTCAGGATTCTATATACTAGTTTCTTTTTAAGATGTGTTCATGGTTATTTAGACCTGCCACTTCTTTGGGAAGTTAACTGGGAGAACCTCAGAGATGAGAAATACAACTCTCTCTCTGGGCCAAGCTTTTCAACGAGCTGTCTTCCTGCTGGGACTTCCAACATTTTAAAACACTTTGCTCGTAACCTAGTTGCCAAGTAGCTGATTTGTTTAGGGACCTTTTTAAATCCTGTTAGTAAATAGCCATCACAAAAAAACAATTTTTTTCTAGCTCTTGCAGAAATCAAACACTTTTTATTTAGTCTTTTTCAGTTAGTTTCTGTGTGGAGACTACAGCAGGGCTGGGCAAAATACAGCCTGTGGGCTGGATCTGGCCTGCCAAGGGATTCTGTTCAGCCTGTGGCAAGTCTCCCTAGCCTAGGCACAGCAGGGTGGGGCTGCCCTGGCAGTGGTACATGCAGTTCTGCCATCAGGTGCGTGGCAGGGCAGGGGCAGTGCAGCAGCCAGACTGCTTCCTGGCAGCCCCTGCAGTGGTGGCTCCTCTGGCTGCTGCCACTAGTGTCTCTGTACTGCTGGGCCTGGCCCCGCCTGCTTGGGCACCCCTACCTGTCCACCCTACACCCACCATCAAGGACTCTGGATGGAGCGGACAGGCAGGATCTCCATGGAGACTAGCCTGAGACCCTTTCAGGCAGGGCATGCTTGGCTGGGCAGATGGGATGGGGCCAGGATTGCAGGTTGGTGACAGTGTGGAGCCAGGGCTTAAGGCAGAGCTCTGATCCACTCCCCACATGTCCCTGTCCACAGAACCAGTACCTGGGACGTGCGGGGAGCAGATTGTGGCTTTTACACTGGGTCCTGGGCCCATGCTATCACGGTCCTGTGATCCTGCTCCTCCTTCCCCTTATGCTAGTCTGAGTCAGCACCCCTCCCCACTCTGGCCCACAACAGCTCGCCAAAATTGCTAAAGTGGTCTTCCAGCCAAAATAATTGCTTGCCCCTGATCTGCAGTGTTTTTTTGATATGGACACAGTCATGGTAAGGGAAATATAATGGGCTTAGCATGTCCCTTTTTCTGCCTGGACCAATTCTTAGAGGTGGAGAAATCCACAGAGGTCAAATGTTCATAGTCCTCCTGGGGAGTTAACTGGATCCTGTAAGATGCTGAGGGTTGCTTTAGTTGCAAGCACAGCAAAGAAACTAAGAGTCCCCATCACTCCTTGCTGGTCCCAGATTGTAATTGGCCTTTAACCTATGACAAGCTAAAGGAATCTCCATTGTATTTGTTTATTTAGGGTTTGGTGGCAGCCCAGCATACTTCTTGGGCAGACATTCTTGTACTTACTGTGGTTCCTTCCCAACAACAGTGGCTTTAGTGTTCTCCAGTCTCTTCTCCAACTCAGAACAGTATATTCTAAATGTGGACCCAGATTCTCAGAGGCTGTGGGCACTTAACCCTATTCCTAACAGGCTTGTTCTTTTGTCATTTATTCAGAGGCTGTTCCTTTGGTCAGCCTCCAGTCAGTTTCCTGTTCAGATCCCTCCCAATACTAGACTTTCAAAACAACAAAAATAAAATCAGTGGAGCAGTGGACAGTCTAAACTCGGCAGCCTCCACCTCTGGATGGACAAAATGCAAGAAGTGGAAAGTCAAAATTTTATTTATTTCAAAGTCTAGAATTTCTTCACTTATGCTTAACTGAAGGTATCTCAACATGCTGGCTGAGAGAACTACTTTCAGTAGTATTTGCTATAAGGAGGCAAATTGAGAGGTACTCAGATGCTTCTCACCCCTTGAAATAACTCGTTTTGTTTATAATAGAACAGACTCTGGCAAAACTTTGTCGTCATTTCTTCCCTGGAAACTGTGTGTTCCATTGCTCTGTAGGTTCTGTATGCTTACCTTGAGCTCTGAGCAAAGATTGAAAAGCAGAGCTACTAGCTCAACCAGTTTTCCTTTTCTGATTTTATAAAATGGTAGTTGTCTTTGAGTTCCCATCTTTCTGCCCTGTTTAGATTAAAATGTACTCTTGGGTTTCTTGCCTTTTTGATGAAGAAAAAGAGCTTGATGTTATAAATGATGGTAAGGACCTGGAGGGCCTTTGCAAAGGTAAGGAAGTCAGGTCTCGGGCTCCTTGCTTGTCCTGTATTCTGAACTTCAGAAATCTGAAAGTCTACTTTTGCCATTGCTAGCCAGATTCAAGTTTGCATTGAGGAAGTATGGATAGCGGAAGATTTTCCGTGTCTTTTAGGCATTTGGGATGATATTTCCCACACTGCACAACATTGGCCTGAGATCCAACCAATTTCAGTAAGGGGCAACGTTATTCAGTGAGTTTGCACTAATTTCAGTGTGGGCAGGCCAATGGTGGACTCTTAAAAAGGCTCACTTTTAGAGTTTTCATAGTATGAATTTTTGGTAGAGGGAATTCTGTACATATTCCATACATGTTTTCTATGATAATTTGTGAATGTTGGAACAACCTTTCAGCATAGCTTTTGGTGTTTAGTATCCTTACTTCAGTAATCTCTGCTGGCTGGTTCCACTGATTAAATGCTTCTGTGGTTTGAGTAGTTGGACACTCTTAGGCAAACCCTAGTTTCTCAGTAGTTGGAGTCCCCTAAGCAGAAAAAGGAGTTTTGGTTATACTAATACGTGAGTTCCGTAAGAACTTCTGACAATCTGAAAACCTAGTTGGGATCAGTGGCAATGCGCAAGGGGTGCATAGTGGTGCACGTGCACTCCCTGAGAGCACTGATGCACCCCCTGACAGATAGCGCTCCCTGCTTAGGCAATGGGCAGGGGGGGCAGGCAGGAGCACTGGTTCCAAGCACGGGACGGGGAGTGGGGGTGCCAGGTGAAGTACCGTTGGTGCTTCTGGGAGCGCCAGTTGTGTTTCCCAGTTGGTCATAAGGGACGACACTTCCCCCCCTGCCATCAGCAAGATTGGCCACTGGTGGGGGTGGGGGGCACATGCTCCCCAACTTGGGTGGCACCAATTGCCCATGGTTGGAATTCAAACTGGTTTTTATCCTTTTCCTTAACCAGGCAGCTGTCTGTGGCTGCATCTAAGTAGTAAAAGGCATGCTTGTCTCTAGTGGACAACTTTTTGGAGTTAAATCCCAAACAATCTGCTTTCTGGAGAACTGGATACCTTGAAGGAAGAATGGGGGAGGGAGACAGAATCTGACATGTGCTTCAAATGGCCACTGAAATAACTACAGTATAACCTCAAAAATCCAAAATTCTTGAAAATCTGACACTTTTTAAGCTTCCTCCTCTACTCCCCTGGATGCGGAGGCTGCCACTCTGCATGCAGCCACTGCTCTGGGACCGGCTGCTGGTCGTCCCCCCTACCCCTTCCCGGATTCAGAGGGAGAAACATGCACACAGCAGCTGCTACCGCCATCCACCACCCTGCTGTGTGTGTGGCCAGTGCTCTGGGACGGGCTCCCCCCACGCCACTCTGCAGCTGGCTTCTGCTCTGGTTTTAAAAAACAGAATTTTCACATTTCCAGCAGGTGCTCGGTCCTGAGCATGCGAGATTTGAGGTTACACCATATAAGGCAACTTTTGTACTTTCAGCAACTTTGCTAGGTGGTTAGATGAAAGGCAAAAATAATTGTACTCAGTTTTGACCAAACTGAAAGCAAAAAGTCCACTAGGTTGGTGAAATTGCATATTTTCCTGTTGAGGTGACAGAGGTCAGTGGACTTGGCTGTTGTATTTAACAATATGCATTAGTCTTGAACTGAGAATGTTACTGTTTTATAGGAGCCAAGTACTGGAAGCGTTAGTAGCTTTGACGATTACAGTCCATGCCCAAGCACACCCATTGAACATGTTTATCGCAGGCAACATTCCAACTCAAATAATGTGGGAGAGCCTGGAATACACTGGAAACTGATTCCAATTACAGGTAAGATGCACCACTAGTGTTTATGCTGCCCCAAAATGTTAAAAGAATAATTATCTGAAGGTCTGCATCTTTCATAGATCCTACTTTGGGTCACTGTATATGTATACCAACACTATTTAGCTGTCTTCTGGTATTTGATTACTACAGATACAGGCTGAATTATAACACTTTATAGAGATCAGAGTCTGTTGTTTATACCCATGTAACCTATTAATTTGAGCTTGCTTATCTATAACAGTTTTTAACCTTCATTGGGTTTGACAAATTTATACGTTTGGCTTCATTTGTGTGTATATATGGCCTTCAAATCCTTTGGATTGCTTAAATAAGAATCTTGCAAGATAGGCCTTGCTTAAAATGGCACTTGTTACCATTACCTCATTAGTTCTAGCTGTGAGACTAAGCAGGTAGGTAGATACAGTTGTGACTGCATAGTTGTTACTGGAACCAGTCATCTTATTGGAAGAAGAGTCCTTTTTCACAAAATCCAAGTTATCGTACCAGAAGTGCAAGAGTTACGAGGAGAGGTTGAGGGCCATAGGACTGTTCAGAAGTCTGGAGAAGAGAAGGCTCAGGGGGGACTTGGTGGCAGCCTATAAGTATATAAGGGGGGGTCCATCAGGATCTGGGAGAACAGTTGTTCACCAGGGCTCCCCAAGGGATAACACACCACAAACTTGTAATGGCCTCAAACTTCTGGAACACCGATTTTTAGACTGGACTTAAGGAAAAACTTCTTTATAGTCCGAGTGTCCAGGGTCTGGAATGGACTTCCCCCCAGAGGTGGTGCAAGCACCTACTCTGGACTCATTCAGAAGATGTTTGGATGCATATCTTGCTGGGATCATTTGACCCCAGCAGACTTCCTGCCTATGGCACAGGGGCTGGACTCTGATTTTTGCGAGGTCCCTTCCAGCCCCTAATGTCTATGAAATCTAAGTGCTTCAAACTGTTCATCTTCAATCCTAAGAATGAAAACATTTTCAGAGAACCCTTTTTTAAGGGACGTTCTTGTTCTTCTCTTGATGAGTCACCAATATGAGGTCCCAGATAAACTTAAGAGCAATGATTTGAAGGGTGCAGAAGGTGGGGTGGAAAAAGTCACATCAGGAGTTACAGTTGCTTCAAAAGCTGTGCGCTCAGGCCTCTCTTGAGTAGACTAAGTAGAGTGTGTTAACTGCCATACCATGCAAGTGCAATCTATTGCTTCTGGCTTATCGAAGATTTCTGGAGTTGCCGGTAGACGGAGTTGGATTGGTTTTGCTAAAGGGCATTGTCAAACCGTTCCACTACCCAGTCGCTTGGGATTTTTTAACTTCTATAAACTTCATAAGCTTTTGAAGGATAGTTAGGGATATAACCTTAGTCAGTTTAAGCCCTAGAGGATTTAAGCACCAATATTCATTTGGTACTTTGCCAAATAGAAAAATGGAGACCTGTAAAATATCTTGGTGGACAAAAAGGTATGTCTTCTGTTATCGAATGAAACAGATGCTATTTGTGCTGACAGATGAAAACACAATTGTGAAAATAGCAATGACAAAGCATGATTAGGCAGCTCAAACTGGATGTAGAAGATTGAATGAGGATTTCAATTGGCTATAAAAACATTGAACAATTACCTACTTGGCTACAACAGCATGTGAACTTTTTATCTGAACCCGGAATTCTGAGAGGGTCTCCTTGAAGAATAATAAAAAAAAAAAGATATTAAGAGGTGGTGGCTTTCAATTAGTAGGCATCACTGTTTTATAAACTTTCTAGGGCCTAACTTAAGTTAGAACTTACTATATTTACATGTTGATTTAATTCTCTAACAGAGTGATAATTTGAAAGGTGCTATATAAATACCTGAGAAACTCTATAAATGCTAACTGCTGCTCTCCCTCAGGAGGGTCAGGAAGAGTTCAAGAGGATCAGCTGGGAAAACATGGAGATAACCAAACAGGTGAGAAGGATGGCTTTCTTGTCTATGCCACTGCTTCCCAAACTGCTGAAAAGAAGCTTGCATTCTCATCTGGTATTGAATTTTTATCAGGAAACTTGAGGGCTTGGATCAGTTACCTGCCATTTAGTGAATAGAATTTTTTAATTTCCTGAAGCAAACAGACAACATTATAGGAAAGTTAAAACTTTGGACTTTTGTCACTGACTTGATTATATCAACCCTACATCCTGAATAATGGCTTTAAGGAGGCTTTCAATATTCCCTTTAGGGATTTAAGACCTTTTAATGAGCATTGCTTACAACAGGCTTTTGTGCCTGTTATGTAATAAAAGATAGCATCTGATGGTTTGTGTATGTTTTATCTGTGGTGGAGTGGCAGCTGTGGAAGGAAAGTATGGACCCCAAAGAAGGCAGTTTATTCTTCTCCTTTCCTCAATTTCAGTGAAGAAAATTAGTGAATCTTGGTTTCAGATAAATTTTAACATTATAGTCTTCTGTATCGTGGCACTGAAAAGAAGTACATTTTTAAAGAAGAAAATTCTTTGCATCTTAGAACTTGATGCTTTTGCACATGCCTGGGAGAGGGGAAAACATATTATGCAAATTTTCCCTGATTTCAGTTGTGTAACTTATGTAGCCAAGTTTTGGGTGATTGTTCATGTCGTCATTACTGCATAATCCATCTTCTGCAGTAATAAATCTGGATTTCAGTTTTAGCTGGCAGCTGCTTTTGTTTGTCTAAATCAACTTGAATTTTGGGCTGGTCTTTGACTTTTGAAATTTAGTCCAGTTACATTGTTTGTTTTTGTCTTGCATCTTCCACATGAAGGAGATGGAGCTGGTAGATCGTACTTCTAAAAGTGATGACTTTTGATGCCATTCATCCTGCGTTATTAGACATTAAACATTCTAGGGGGTTTTCCATTGGCACATACTACTTTGAAAATAAACTTGTTAAAAAATATTCTTTCTGTTGGTGATCATTTTTTATTGGACCAACAGCATGGTTAAGGATAGACATGGGGATCAACAAGCTTTGAGATGCAGGCATTCAGAATTTGCGTAAGTCCATCCCAGCCATGTAGTTGGCCAATAAAAGGTATCACACGCAAATCCTTGCCCCTCATATATTTCCTGGACCATCACTTTAACTCTTCCTCTTGTATATCTAGTGACATCTGTGAAAAAAAATTACAGAATCTTGTTCTAAACCATCAAGGCCAGAAGCTTTGTTTTTTCTCTTTTAAAAAAATGATCTAACTTTCTATTTTTCAGATACTCACTCACTTTTTTGGGTTTAAAAAAAAATCTGATCTTGTTACTGTTGGGATTTGATTGTTTGCACACTCTATACATTGACTTCCTTTTTGCTCGTGCCTCATGTACTTGGGTTCTCATGGGGACTTGTGACCCAGAGGTGTGGATATATGAAAGATGCCACCTTGAGATGACTTTGGTTAAATAACATGGCTGTTTTACCTTCATTTTATTAGCATTTGGTTGTGCTTTGTGGTTGAAATTCTGACCCCAAAGCATACCTTTTTGTTTGATCCCTGTATTGTTTTTGGTATTGTTGGTAAACCTTTTTCCAAGTAATGATGGGTTTTGTTGTGTAAAAGAAACTGGTAAATAATTGTTGGGAGTTTTATACCTATATTGATATAGATATATCAATATCGATATCTCCCAACAGTTTTAGGGGGAAAAAAGGTGATTTCATTAAACTGCTGGGTTTTTTGTTGTCTGCAAAGTTGTTTTGCTTGTCTAAAATAACCTATTGAAGATGAATGGCAAAGGATGCAGTGGGTGGTTTTAAATAAGTGCATTGATAATTCTCTAAAAATACTTCTAAATAGATCCTAAAATGGCTGCTGTCAATGAATTTTGAGCATTGTATTTGTCAGGATAATCTAATTTCATTGTCTGGATATCACAATTTTGCTATATAATATGTACTGGAGACTGAACAGGATAGAGGGCTATTGAAGAAAAGACTGAGTTTTCAAGGATGTTAACTGATTGGGATAGATTTCTCATTGTGAAAATGGAATGAGTAATAAATCCTTAAAGATACTATTGTTGGTTTTAAGTACCTTGTAAGTGTATAACAGTGGTTTTTCAACCAGTTTAGACTGAAGGCACCCCTTTAAAAATGCCAGCTCTTAGCTATCATGTATATATTATTATGGAAAAACAATAGAACAGTTTCTATTGCAAAGATTCTGGAAGTCCACAGTAATTCAGAATGTTTGTGACACTATGGATTCTTATTATAAATTTTTGGGTTCATCATGTGAAGCAGGTGTAGATGCTTGCATACCTAACAGTGCTAATATTGTACAGCACCCTTAAAAGGACCTCATGGCACCCTGGTTGAGAATCATTGGTGTAGAGAGAGATTATACTACCATAGGGCATTTGTACACATGCTTGCACCACAGCAGCGGGTGCTTTTAAAAGTGCCCACTGCTGCAGCACATACATTTGTATAAATGGTGAAATGCGTGTCAGCGCTGAAAAAGTGGTGATGGCGTACTTTTGAGCTAAACACATCGAAGGTGTCTTAGTTCAAAAGCGCACTGTCGGAATTTTCTCAGTGCTGATGTGCATTTTGCTGTTTATGCAAATGCACGTGGTGCAGTGCTAGGCATGTCAGCTTGTGTGTGGAGCAGACTTGATTTAATCTAATCTGCTCCAACGTGCCAAATCTATGGTGTATTGGAGCAGGCAAATGTATGTGTATAAATGTCCATATTTCTTGGGTTCATGGAATAAGCACTTTTCTTAAAGTGTTGTTTTGTGACAACCTTTTTGAAAAGAGTGAAATAAGTAACTAAGAACTTAACGCCTTTTCCACATAATCCTATACCTTACACCAGGGGTACTTGGGAAAGCACCAGGGGGTATGCACCAGCAGTGTGGGGGGGTGGGGCTGCTATCACTTTGCTCTGCTTGCGGCACCATGCTGACATGCGCTGCTGGCACTTCCAGTTTTGCTGCCACTGGCTGTGTGGAAGACCCTGCCCCTCCCCTCCCCTACTTATTGATCCGC